AGGAATGTCTCAACAATGTGGCCTTTCAAATCCAGAAATTCAATAGGGCATACAGACGAAGTGGAATCAAGCCTAGACAATTATTTCCAGAAGGCTCTCCACAAAATCGACAAACTCAGCCCCGGAACAGATCTATTCCACAAAGAACATTTCCTCAAACATCTTCTCAAAACACTTTAAAAAATTCTTCAGTTATTCGTTCAAATTCTGAACCACCTAACTTGGATCATATTAAATGCAGGGCATGTTCAGGATTTGGACATTATGCTAATGAATGTGCAAATACCTTGAGAAGAAGAGGAATGAGTCTGATTTGTGCTGTCAGTGATGAGGAGGAAGAGCAACCTGAACAGACAGAGGAGCAACAATCTACTAAACAGGCTCTTTCTGTCAGATATATCACTGAAAATTCCTCTGAAACAGAATCACAATGAGTTTCTCTAGATGCTGCAACACTTTCTGAAACACTTTCAGTAACTGAAATTTTTGAGTTAGATGATAACCATTATACATGTTTAAGCTCTATTTCCTTGAATGCAGCAGAATCAAGTAAAGAAGCAGTTAGAAATGAGGAAGAAATGTGTAAGAAATTGTTCAGCGACTTGGAGAAGAAGACTCAAGCTCTAGATGCAGCCAACAAGGAAAATTCTTCCCTCAAAGATACAATCACACATTTGGAGGTTGGTATCACCAAGAAAGATCTTGAACTGGCAAAGGTGAAAGATGAACTCAAAGAAGCAACTCTAGCAATCAAGAGGATGAATACCGGCACAACTAAACTCGAAGAGATTGTGTCACTGGAAAAGTACAACAAAAATGAAGGTCTAGGGTTCAAAAAACAAGTGAAGAAATACAAGCCAGCAAAGAAGAAGGAAATTGTCTTTGTAAAAGAGAAGGGTTCAAATGGAAAAGAATGCAGAAACTCCACAATCACCACTCCAGAGTCCAGAATAAGGGGATACATTTGTCATCACTGTTTCTCACCAGGACATATTCGTCCATTCTGTGAGAAACTAAGTCACAACACCCCAGGGAACACCTCAAGGTAGAATTTACCAAAAAGGAGTGTAGAATATGGACTCCCAAAGGTAAACTTATGTGCAAAGCAGTATAAACTTCTTTAAATGCTAACATTTCAGGTTCATGGTACTTTGATAGTGGATGCTCTAGGCACATGACTGGAACTAAAGAGTTTCTATCAAACTACCATACACTCAATGGTCGACGTGTAACCTATGGAGGAGGAGCTAAAGGCAAAGTGGTTGGACGTGGAACACTCAGTATTGAGGGACTTCCAAAACTTTCAAATGTCTTACATGTTGAAGGATTGGGGTCATATCTCATCAGTATTAGTCAATTGTGTGATGATGATCTGCGTGTTCAATTTGATAAATACTGTTGTTCTGTGTTTGATAATCAAAATCATTGTGTACTGACAGGTTCCAAATCAATGGATAATTGTTATCAAACAGGTGACACCATCTCATGCAAGAGCTCAAGAGTAAGTGAAGTAGAGCTGTGGCACCAGAAACTTGGGCACACAAAATTCAAAAATCTGAAGATGCTTTACAAGTACAATGCTATAAGAGGAATTCGTGATCTCAAGATCAAGGACATCCCTATATGTGGAATGTGCCACAAGGGAAAGCAAACTAGAGTACCACAGAAAGGGTTACAACACGTTGGTACCACCATCTGTTTTGAACTTGTACATATGGATCTTATGGGTCCTATAGAGGTAGAAAGTCTAGGTGGTAAAAAATATGTATTTGTGTGTGTTGATGATTTTTCAAGATATACTTGGGTTTATTTTTTAAGAGAAAAATCTGATACTTTTGAAGTGTTCAGAAATTTGTACATGTTTGTTAGAACTCAATTCCAAGTTTCTATTTGTAGAATAAGGTTTGATCATGGAAAAGAATTTGAGAATGCTTTATTTCTTGCTTTTTGTAATAAAAAGGGTATCAAGCATGAATTTTCTGCTCCAAAAACTCCTCAGCAAAATGGTATTGCTGAAAGAAAAAACAGAACTATCCAGGAGATGGCTAGGGTAATGATGAGTGCAAAAAATTTGTCTAAAAGGTTTTCGGCTGAGGCTGTCAACACAGCATGTCACATCTCAGATCGTGTGTATCTATGATTAGGGTCTATGATGACTTCATATGAAATTCTTTATGGTAAGAAACCTAATCTAGAATACATGCATGTTTTTGGATGTGTTTGCTATGTCCTAAATGATAGAGATCATCTAACTAAATTTGATTCAAAAAGTGATTTGACTTTGTTTATGGGATACTCAGTATATAACTTGAGAAATCGAACCATTGTTGAATCTGTAAATGTGGTATTTGATGACTTTGCTGATCTCCGCAGTAAAACAGCTGAAGATGAAGTTGATGACCTGATTGCTGAAGGAGAAACAACCGGAGGAGACACTACTGCCACAGATGCTCCAGATATAAACAGTCCAGTCTCAAGAGAAGAGGGTGTTGAACCAAGTGTTACCACATCTGACTCAATACAGCCTACAAAGAGCACAGAAGCTGAATTGCAGCTAACTCATGATGTCTGCAGAAAGGAACCATCAAGTAGACTCCAGAAAAATCACCCCTCTACTCAAGTTGTGGGAGATATCTTTGATGGGATAAGGACCAGAAGAAAAGAGAGAGTAAATTACAGAGATATGGTAAGATTTGCAAATTTATCTTCTGAATGTGCACTAACTGGAACTACTTGTTTTGTATCTTCAGTCGAACCAAGGAATATTGCAGAAGCACTGAAGGATGAGTTTTGGATTAATGCAATGCATGAAGAGCTAAATCAGTTCATCAGGAATGATGTTTGGTACTTAGTTCCGAGACCAAAACTGAAGGATGAGTCATGTAAATGTAATAGGAACTAAGTGGATCTTCAAAAACAAAACTGATGAAAAAGGTACAGTTGTTAGAAATAAGGCTAGGTTAGTAGCATAAGGTTATATAATTAGATTGAAGGTATAGATTTTGATGAAACCTTTGCTCCAGTAGCTAGAATTGAATCTATTAGGTTACTTCTTGCTATAGCCTGCTTTCTTAAAATCAAATTGTATCAGATGGATATCAAAAGTGCATTTCTAAATGGTGTTTTAAATGAAGAAGCATATGTAGAGCAGCCCAAGGGTTTTGAAGATTCTGCCAAACCTGATCATGTGTTCAAGCTTAAGAAGTCTCTGTATGGTCTTAAACAAGCTCCTAGAGCTTGGTATCAAAGACTCACTGACTTCTTACTTGAAATACAATTCACTAGAGGAGAACAAATAACCATATCATTATTGTACAGATATATGTTGATGATATTGTTTTTGGTTCTACTTGTGCTAACCTCTTATAGTCTTTTGTAGATCCTATGTCTCACACTTTTGAAATGAGCATGGTAGGAGAGTTGAATTACTTCCTAGGACTCCAGATCAAACAGACAGGTGAAGGAATTTTTGTAAATCAAAATAAGTATGATCTAAATCTGGTCAAAAGGTTTGAGTTGGAGTCAGCCTAGCACATGAAAACTCCAATATGTTCAAGTCAAAAACTGTCCAAGGATGATGTTGCAGAAGATGTTGACAGCACCCTATACAGAAGCATGATTGGAAGTCTTCTGTATCTAACTGAAAGTAGACCTGATATTATGTTTAGTGTTTGTGTGTTGCCAGGTATCAAGCTAATCCCAAATTCACTCATCTTAAAGCTGTGAAGAGGCTTATTAGGTATGTTGCAGGTACAGTAGACTTAGGCATTCAGTTTTTCAAAGACACTAATACAAATTTGATAGGTTTTAGTGATTCTGATTGGGCTGGGGATATTAGTGACAGAAAAAGCACATCAGGTGCATGTTTCTTTTTGGGGAATAATCTGGTTTCTTGGATTAGTAGAAAACAAAATTGTGTATCACTTTCAACAGCTGAATCAGAATATGTAGCTGCTGGAGGATGTTGTGGTCAACTAATTTAGATGAAACAAATGTTGGGGGATTATGGGTTAACCAGTGACACCCTGACCATATATTGTGATAATTCAAGTGCTATTGATATTTCAAAAAATCCTGTTCAACACTCACGAACTAAACACATAGATATTAAACATCACTTTATTCGTGATATAGTTGAGAAAAATATAGTGTGCTTAAAGTACATTCCTACAGAAGATCAGCTGGCTGACATCTTTACAAAGGCATTAGATTATGAGAGGTTTTCTAAACTTAGAAAATCTCTCGGGATGTGTACTCAATAAACATGTCCTGAAATATGTTGCAGCACCTCATCCAATATCTTAAGCTGCAACATAATTTACTGAAGCGTAGCTTCTTTAAATAATGACTTCACTGTGATGGATTATTCTCTAAATAAGTAACTGGAAGTCTTTCACCTTGAAACGTGATCATGCTTCATGTAAACATTTCAGAGAACAATTATAATCACATAAGTCAAACTCCTCTATCTGAATAGTCATATCTTAGTAACTGAGGAACTTTCAAACTAAACACTTGATCATGTTCCATGTGAATTGTTTGACTTGAAAATAAGAGTTAAAAAAAAAAATATTATATATAGTAAAATCTATGCCTGTTAGCAAATTTTTTTTCTCACACTATTAATCATTAATAGATGTGTTTCTTATTTTTGTGAAAATTTCGTGAGTGCTACTATTTTTATTATTATTTTTTTTATTTTTGAATTATCACTATTTATATGGATCATGGGGTACATGGGTTAGTCTTTTATTTTCCACTAAGTCCACTCCTTATTGTGCCATGTGTCACGTTCTGCTTTCAACTGCCAAATAAGCCTTTATTCTCCTTAATCACACTTTCTCCAAGAAAAACGCACACCACTTCTTCACCTTTTCCACTTCAATTTTTTTTTTCCTTTCTTCTTCTGCAAATTAGGGCTTATAAATTTCGTGCTTCTCTTTCGAAAATTCACACTCAAAAATCAAGCACAAGAAGCAATTTTCTTTATCTATTGTATCATGGCATCTCCTCCTAGAAATCCTCTTCCAGCCGATGGTGATGTCCACAACGATGCTGCAGCACCTGAACCAGCAGATTCGAATCTGGCCATCATCGTTCATCCTGTCAATATTGAAGCTATGCCGATCTGTTTTATTGAGCCAGGAGACGAGCCGAATCCAATTGACCCAGACAACTTCGAGTTCGTGGGCCCCTCTTCCACTGCAGGAAGGTTTCCAACTCGCCGGTCCAAGCGCATGAATCCCTTCCCAGATCTGAATACTGCTGGGTCACAACGCCGGAGGGGAGGAAACTCTCCCAGAAGAGGAGGCAGAGGAGGAAGAAGAGGCAACAGACGTGGTCGTACTCCAGTTAGACCAAACCCACCAAGAGGTCTTCATTTGGTTGATGAGGACACAGATGATGAAGAAGGAGATCCTACCTTTGCAGAACCAGAAGCCCCAGCTCTCTCCTCAAGCTCCATGAGTCATCGTCCAACGACTCACCTCCACCAGCATCAACTCAGGGGGAGACATCTCAGCCTAATATGGCAGCAGCAGCTTCTCAACATTCTGTCTCTGAAGATGTTGCTGCACATGTTCCAGAAGATGTTGCTGCACCCTCTGACTCAGCCAATGCCCCTCACCGTGCTGCTGAGGATGCTGCTCCCTACCAGGATGAGGAAATGCCTGACTTTTCTGGGATGTCCTCTGCTGAGCATGTAGACATTCCCACTGTTGATGCCCAGGATTTCACTACCACTGAAGAAACACCTTCAGCTCCACATCCAGATCCTCTGGAAACTCTGGCAGAGGCAGCTGTTCAAGTGGATGCATCACCTTCCCAGACTGAAGAAGAAGAAACAAATGACGATAGCTGGGAAGTTCCCCTTGCCACCTTTCGCAAAAATTTGCCATCCTCAGAGTCAGACAGTGACTCTTCTGAGGAATCCTCTCAGATGCAGGAAGATGCTGCCCCACTTGTTGCATCACCTGAGCTAGCATACATCCCAGATGAACTTGAAGACTCCGAAGAAGAGGAATCCTCTGAGGAAGAAGAAGAGCCAGACTTGGATGGGAAGGATCTGTCAACTCCTTTTGAGGTAAACAATGCTTTCAGTCCTACTTTTTATTTTGAATCTGATTCAAATGTGAGTCCTCAAATCATGAATTGCCAATTCATTGAGGAAAAGAAAATTTCCAAGGATGACTTTGATAGACATAGGATCACTGCTTTTCTTGATCAAAGAAAAATCCTTAGTCTAGTTGAGGGGCTGCCCTTATGATCCCTCTACTGTGAAGGAATTTTATGCCAATTTGCAAACCTCCTTTTTAAAGAAAAATTCTCCAAACTTTGGCAAAGTTTTTGTACGAAATTCCATTTTCTCATTTTCTCCCAAAATTATCAACTCTCATTTACAAACTCCTACTGTGATTGATGAGGATAATTATGGAGATTTTACTGAGGTTTGTACGACTCTTTCTGGCAATCGTCTAAAATCTTGGCCTGCTCACCCCAAAAAATTCAAAGTTTCTCAACTTACTGCATTTTACTCTGTCATGTTCAGACTCACAGTGATGAATTGGATTCCATCCAAAAATGTCTCTGTGGTGACTAAACCTCATGCAGTACTCATGTACAAATTGGGGATGGGGTTACCTGTTGATTTTGGCAAACTTTTCTTCATCAATATAGGTAATCTTGCCCAGAAAATTTCTTCCTCCACTCATCTTCCTTATCCTTCTCTCATCTACTCCATTCTGCTTTCTCAAAATTTGGGCCAAGATGAATCAGAATACCTTCACACTCCACTTGGCATGATAACTGTTTCTCAAAAATTTCTCAAAGCTCCTCATGTCCAAGATCTTCCCTGGAACGGAGATAATTTCCTCTCAACTGAATCAGGTCAAAATAATCTTGGTACTGAAGGTGTTGCTCCTCATGTTGACAACATCCCTGACATTCTTGTTTCTGTTCCTAGAGACCTCTTGTTACAACAGTTTACTCACTCTCTAGCTCTGATTACTTATCACCAGTCCATGGTGGAAATGGTTCAAACAACTCTTTCTGATCAAAAAGGGGGAGAAAAAGCTAGTCATGAAGTTGAAGCAGGAACTTCTCATCCTTTGGATGCCAGGGGCAGAGAGCAAGGAGTCAATGAAGACGGAGCAAAGAATGAAAGTGAAGCTCAAGGAGCAGAGGAAAGCAGTGGATCGAGTGCTGATGATGGAGGAGCAGCAGCTGATACTGAAGAGACTTTGGATATTATACTTTAATTATTTTTATGAACAATATTTGATTTTGTTCTGTTTTTATTTTCCCTCCGAACTTTTGTGTAGGACTGCACTTTGTTTGTTCCTATTTTCTTTTGTGTTGGACTATCTTGCTAAATTTGTTTTGAATTTATTTTTCTATATTTTGTTTATTATCAAATTCAGGGGGAGTTCAAGCAATGTCTCAGGGGGAGTTTTAGCTAAAATTTAGTTTTGATCAGAAAGTTAAAAATGGGGAGTTAGAAACACGTTGGTTTTTCTACAAAAGTGTTTTTAACTCTCTTACTTTCAAACTAAATTTTAGTTATGACTTAGTGGGCTAAGTGTTATGACTTAGTGGGCTAAGTAGTGCGTAGTGGGTTTAATTATGGATATTATTCTAACTCATTAAACTAACCCACTAACCCATTTTCTTGAGTGCTCTTGTGGTTGGTTTTCTTGCAGATCATGGGCTAAGTAGTGGAAGCTTGGAAAGTCTATAAATACCAAACTCAAGACTCAAGAAAAATACAGATTTCGAAGTAATAGAAAATCGAGTGCTAAAGAATATTCATGAGAATTTTAGTGTGTTTCTAGAATCTGTTTGTACGTACTCCTCACGAGTACATTCTTTGAAATCTAGAATTTTTAGTATTTATCTTTTTGTTTCTAGATTTGAATGCAAGAATGATCATGTAAATGATTCATTCATAAGGAAGAAGTTTTCGTACATCTTCCCTTTGTATTCTTGGAATACTGTTTGTTTAATATAATTTTTCCGTCCTGTAAAGGGCAAGTTCACAAGTTTTTACTTGTGAACATTTTTATATCTGAGTATTGTCTTTATATTTCCGCTGCATGTTTAATTAAGTGTCATAACACTTAAGATAACATCTCTGTATTAAACGAATTCGGGACCACAAATTCTTTCATCCCCGACTCAATATCGGTTGTCCTGCCAAGGACTTCGAAATCTGGGTGGCTGAAAAAAAACGGGTTTTTCATTCTTAACTTTCCGATTCGCCTGGCGAACGGGGCGTTTTATCGGCATTTTGTTTTCTATACTTCATCTCATCCCCCACTATTCTCTTTGCGTGGGAGCCATGCTTCACGGCGTATGACAAATGGAGCTGGACTTTTCAACCACACAGTTTCTGCGACCTGGTCCTGATCCCCCAGTCAGGAACTCCGAAATGTAGACTTTTGGGTTATGAGGTCCGTGTCAGAGGCTTTACGGTTGGTGGCCGGGGCATCGGTACCGCGGTCAAAGAAAACGTGATTCCCATTTCAAACATCCGAGAGGTCGGGGATCTACTAATTTTTCAAGAGGCCGGCGAACCGAGCACTCTGCTAAGGTATTCATGAGGTCGGTGGACCCAAGCACTCTGATAAGATCTTCAAGACGCCGACGGACCGGGCACTCTGATAAGGTCTTAAGTAGGCCGACACACCAGGCACTCCGATAAGGTATTCAGGAGCTTCCAGCTAAGCATTCCTCCTCTCCTCATGGTATTAGCTTCCAGCTAAGCATTCCTCCTCTCCTCATGGTATTAGCTTCAAGCTAAGCATTCTTCTTCACCTAATGGCATTGGCTTCAAGCTAAGAATTTGTCCTCTCATAATAACATCAGCTTAGAGCGAAGCATTCTTGCTCTCCTTAAGGCATTAGCTTGAAGCTAAGCATTCGTATTCTCCTAATGGCAATGGCTTCAAGCTAAAATTTGTCCTTTCTTAAAAGCATTAGCTTCAAGCTAAGTATTTTTCCTCACCTAATGGCAAAAACATTAAGCTAAGCATTTGCCTTCTCGTAATAGCATTAGATCGATCCAAGTATCCTTTCTCTCCTTATGGCATTAGCTAGAAACTAAGAATTCTAATTTTCCTTATGCCATTACCATCAAGCTAAGCGTTCTTATTCTCCTCAAGTCAATAGCTTCGTGCTAACCATTCTTCCTCTCCTAATGGCAGCTTTAAGGTAAGTATTAGCCCTCTCCTAATAGCATTAGTTTCAAGCTAAGTAATTTTCCTCTCCTAATAGCATTAGTTTCAAGCTAAGCTTTCTTCTTCACCTAATGACATTAGATTTAAGCTGAGAATTTGTCCTCTTCTAATAGCATTAGCTTCAAGCTAAGCATTCTTTCTCTCCTTATGGCACTAGCTTAAAGCTAAGGATTCTTATTCTCCTAATGGAATTGACTTCAAGCTAAGCATTTGTCCTTTCCTAAAAGCATTAAATTCAAGCTAAGCTTTATTCCTCACCTAATGGCATTAGCATCAATCTAAGTATTTGTCCTCTCGTAATAGCCTCAACTTCGAGGTAAGAATTCTCCCTCTCTCTATGGCATTAGATTCAAGCTAAGAATTCATATTCTCCTTATGCTATTAACTTCAAGCTAAGCATTCTTACTCTCCTTTATAGCATTAGCTTTGTGCCAAGCATCCTTCTCTCCTAATGGCACTGGCCGAAGTTAAGCATTTGGCTTGTCCTAAAAGCATTAGATTCAAGCTAAGCATTCTTACTCTCCTAATGGCATTAGCTTTAAGATCAGGTTTCTTCTTCAATTAACGGCATTATCTTCAAGCTAAGCATTTGTCCTCTCATAATAGCATTAGCTTCGGGCTAAGCATTCTTTTTCTCCTTATGACATTAGCTTGAAGCTAAGCATTCTTATTCTCCTAACCGCAATGGTTTCAAGGTAAGCATTTATCCTTTCCTAAAACCCTTAGCTTAAAGCTAAGCATTCTTCCTCATCTAATGGCATTAGCGTTGGGATAAGCATTTTTGCTCTCATAATAGCAGTAGTTACGAGCCAAGCATTCTTCCTCTCTTTATGGCTTTAGCTTCAAACTAAGAATTCTTATTCTCCTTATGTCATTAGCTCCATGCTAAGCAATATTCTTCTCCTAATGGAATTAGCTTCAAGCTAAGCTTTCTTCTTCATCTAATGACATTAGCTTCCAGCTAAGAATTTGTCCTCTCGTAATAGCATAAGCTTCGAGATAAGCATTATTCGTCTCCTTATGGCATTAACTTGGAGCTAAGCTTACTTACATGGCATTAGCTTCACGATGAGCATGCTTTCTCTCCTAATATCATTGGCTTGAAGCTAAGCGTTTGTCCTCTTCTGAAAGCATTAGCTACAAGTTATGCATTCTGCTTTTCGTAACAACATTAGCTTCAAGCTAAGCATTTGCTCTCTCCTAATAGCATTAGCTACAAGCTATGTATTCTTCCTCTTTTAGTGGCATTAGCTTCAAGCTAAGCATTCTTCCTCACCTAATGGCATTAGCTGCAAGCTAAGCTTTCTTCCTCACCTAATGACGTTAGCTTCAAGCTAAGAATTTGTACTTTCCTAATCGTATTAGCTTCTAGCTAAGCATTCTTTTAATTTTCTCTAAATGGCAATAACTTCAAGAGAAGCATTTGTCATTTCCTAATAGTATTAGATTAAAGGTAAGCATTCTGTTGGGAATCAGGCACGTGTACGCAGCGGAAAACAAAAATTTTACATGAAGTAAATAATTGAATTCACATAAACCGGGCACCAAGCCGGTCCGATCCAATACATAAACCCGGAAAGGCCAACAACTCGGGTTGATTATTGGGAACCGGACAAATTCCGGTTGAACCGCCCTAAAATAGGGAAAAACCGGCAAAACATCGGTTCCATATGAAAAATAAAAGGAGAGAGATGGAGACAGAAAACTTCACTTCTTCATCTGGTTTGCTTAAAGATCAGCAATGGCAGTGATTGAGAAAGAGAGGAGAAGAAGAAAAATGGGAAAGAAAAAAAAGCAAGAGGAAAGCACAACAACGAGGGAGAAAGAGATTAGAAAGTGGGGTAATGATTCCAATAAGCTATGATGGAGGCGCAAGGTTAAGAATAAGAAAATTAGAGTTTAGGTTTTGGGCAAATGGGCTTTAATAAACAATTGTATTGAAATTTTAGTGTAAATTATTTTAAAATTACAAATTTACATTGACTTTTCAAACTTAAAAGATATGTAAGTATTATATAAAATTCAATTATGTATTTTTTGGTATAGAATTTTATGCGTATATTTTATTTTATATTCGATACATTATTTGGATATTTATGTTTATGTAAATTATATTTTTTACGTTGTAAATGTTAACTTTATTTCCTTTATATTTTATTTTTTATTGTGAATTTTAAATTGTAAATCAGTAAATACTTAAAAATGATATTTTATGAGGAATATATATTATTTGAGTGCATATATTCATATAATTACCACTTTAAAATCATATAAATAAATTAAAAATATTAAAAAATGCAAAAACCCTGTGAAACCTCGGTTGAACCGGTCCAACCATGACCCAGTTGCTGGTCCGGTTCGATGTTCGGTCCGGTTTGAAAAGATTGGCTTCAGGCTAGTATTTTTACCCTCCTTACGACTTTAGTTTTGTGCTAAGTATGCTTCCTCTCCTCATGGCATCATCTTCGGGCTAAGCATTCTTCCTCTCCTAATGGCATTAGCATCAAGCTAAGCATTCTTACTCTCATCATGGCATTAGCTTCGTGCTAAGCATCAATCATCTACTAATAGCATTGGCTTCAAGCTAAGCATTTGTCCTCTCCTAGTAGCATTAACTTCAAACTAAGCATTCTTCCCCTCATAATGGCATTAGTTTCAAGCTAATATTTTCCTTTCCGAATAGCATTAGCTTCACGCCAAACATTTTCTCTCACGTAATAGCATTAGCTTTGAGTTAAGCATTTTTCCACTCCTTATGGCATTAACATCAAGATAAGCATTATTTCTTATGTAATGGCATTAGCTTCAAGGTAAGCATTCTTAATCTCATTATGCCATTAGTTTCGAGCTAAGCATTATTCATTTCCTAATAGATTATCTTGTATCTAAGCATTTTTTCTTTCCTAATGGAATTTGCATCAAGCTAAGCATTATTTATCTCTATTGGCATTAGCTTCAAGCTAAGCATTATTCTTCACCTAATGGCAATTGCTTCAATCTAAGCATTTGTCCTCTCATAATAGT